ACACGCTGGTGGACGCCGTGAAGAGCAAGGCCGTGGGGATGAAGCTCGTGGACGGTGAGCGAGCACGACCCAACGGCAGTATTCATTCGCGGTCTTGCGGCCCGCCCGTCCCTGTGTTGTGTGTGCATGTAGCTGTTGGACCAGGCCGTGGAGATGAACCTCGTCGATAGTGAGCAGTAAGCAGTGAGTATTGACGCAACTGTGCAAACTATTATAGATAGGGCGGGGTAATGAGCCGCTGGGTAGTGACTCAATACCTTGCAGTAGTCTTATCTGCGGTGCTGATGGTGCACGAATACCGACACACAGCAGCGTGAATCGTTTGTGGTGCACCTACGCGTGCACCTGCGGGACAGGCTGCAGGGGTGCGACGGGCGCGACGATGGTTGTATGTGTGGGCCCCGTTCAAAATTGTGCACTTTACATTTACACTTTACATGCGGTTGTTTCTTTTCCGTTGATGCACATGCACACACCCACGAAGAAACAAAAAATGCCAAGTCTTCCCGCTGTGCGGACGCAAAGACGCACGTCAGGGAGGCACGCGTCCGGCATGCACCTGGTGGCGAGCGCATCACACATCACACCTTCGAGGATCACGACCAGCGTAGACATGAGGATTGCTACAAGACAGATGGCAATTTTCGCGTCAGGCTCACAACTTGCCCTCCGCATTCGTCAAGTGAAAGCAAGCAGTCTACATATTGCATCATACATCACCGGACATTACTACATACGTACGCAGCACCAATAGCGACAAAGCCGTTGATGGTCATGACTTTGATGCGAGCAGCAACAGCAGGCGGGGCACGGATTTCTCGAAGGTAGTGAGTAGCGCGGCGCAAGTTACGCAACCTGGACCGATCCCGCGCGGAACCGTCCTGATCACGCACAGCAGCAGTAGTAGCCCCTCACGCGTCTTCGGATTCTCTCGATGGTAGGTGCGACCTCTGGACTTGGAAGGTGTGCTATGTTGTGTGTTGTTCGTTTGTGATACAAAAATCAGGCTGTAGTTTGTTGTTTTGGGAGCACTCGGTTGGACCCCTCAACACCAACAAACACAAGCCAGGTTACACACGGCACATGATGACTATATCCACGGCGCACAGGTCGTATAGGCCCGGCCCCTCCTGGTTATCATACAGATAGCTGGTCTCGGATCAGCGTTCTGTTGTTCTTCTGCCGATGTGGTGTTGTCCTGCCGCGGTTTGAACTCTACCGCGTGTTCTCTGTGTGTGTGCCATCTCCGATAGCTCGGGCATGTTACCTCTCCATAACTTCTGGGCATGCAGGGATGCGATCTCCTACGAAACTGGGCCACAAATGCCTGTGAAGCACTGCCATCTGTCGCCGAAGCACGACCAAACCGGTGTGACGAAGAGCGCGTAGTATTTCTTCTTGCTCAGAAGTGAACAGATCGTCAAACGGTGCCCTATCGGTCTCGTTCTGGTCCGAAAGGTGCGATATAATATGCGTCACGGAAATCGAACTTTGGGGCCCCTGCATCGCGCGGCGCAACTTTGGCCGATATATAGAGCCTTTTTTCCCCTCGGGGGCTGAGAAGGGAAAAAAGGTCACTCGCTTCACTCGCTCCGCGCCTCATTTTAAGTCTATACCGGATACGCCCTACCCCGTCTCCCGCCCCCACCTCCGCAACAACAACGAACGACACGCAGGTGTAGCGGCAAAGCAGCAGTCCGTGAAGGTGATAAACGACGAGCTGGTGGAGATCATGGGCGCCGAGCAGGCTCCGCTGGCGAGAAGGACGGACGGGAAGCCCACCGTGATCCTCCTGGCGGGGCTGCAGGGGACCGGGAAAACCACCGCAGCTGCCAAGCTCGCCAAGTGCGTACCAGTAGTACCGTAGGGTCGCATCGTAGGTACCACACACACACACACCCCGGGCCTCCTTTCCAGTAGCCTTCGCAGGGTTTTTTTAATTAAGTAAACATGTTGGATGAAGCATGCGATCGGGGAAGTGGGGATAGGGAATAGGTTCTGCGTACCCCCCCTTCCCGTCCTATTTCCTCATGATATTTTATCTTCAGCGAAGGCGGTCCATATTTGTTGAATCTCGATTGCTCTGCCAAAATATTTGCCAGCAGAGTCGGTGCGGTCTTGTCTAGAGCATTTTCAAAGAAACGTTTGTCATTTGATTCTGGCCATCATTTCGTCAAGCTCGCCCCAAGTATGTGGTACTGCGTTGTCAGCAGTCAGCACTAGTGGTAGTAGTATTAGTAGTAGTAGTAGTGGTGGTAAGGGATTTCGGCTGGTGTTTTCTACGAGGCAATTGCCGCGGCTCGCGAAGCTTTCGAGAGGTTCAGGGTTTCATGAGGCGACTTCGATATTCCTCCATCTGTGCTCCGCCCGATTTTTTTCAACGACTTTTGGTCAGGACGAACGACCGCCTTTTTCGCAGCCACTCTGGGCACTTGAGAGGCTGTGGTCGCTGTCAGTAGCTGTCCATGTCCTGAGCATGCGGTGACTACTCCACCGACCACCTTGCTTGACGCGCAGCGATTTCAAGGCACCTGCACAGCAAGTAGGATGCAAATGTATGAAATGAATGGAAAGTAGCATCCATGAAGTTTCTCGCCGGCCTTGTCGCGCGGCACATGAACTCAAGGTACACAAATAGGATGGCAGTACAAGTTGTTCACGCAGCGACGTTTTTTGTCACGGAGCGGAGTGGAGCTGTTCTAGCAAAAATATATTTCATAGAAAAAAACGTAACCCGTGGACTTCCTTGCGTGACTCGCGTTAATTTTTTTACGCCAGGTACCTTCAGCAGGAGGAGGAGCCTAAGAAGGTGCTTCTGGTGGCCGGAGACGTGTACCGACCGGCGGCCATCGACCAGCTCATCTCCCTCGGGAAGAGGATCGACGTAAGATGCCACCCCCCCCTAGTGGACGTACGAT